ATGGAATAGTCTGAACATTTTTTGAAATTTATTTTTTTTTTTTTTTTTTTTTCCTTGACATATGCTTATCAATTAATATTTCAGGATTGGAAAGAGATCTAGAGATGAAGCTCCATGGGCAGCACCTGGCCCAGTCTGTGATTCTGAAAGCCATTCAAGGCTTCATCAAAAACCCTGAGTCCAACAAACCACTGACTCTGTCCTTTCATGGCTGGTCTGGAACAGGCAAGAACTTTGTGGCCCGGCTAGTAGCGGACAACCTGTACCGGGATGGTATAAAGAGTGAATGTGTGCGTTTGTTCATTGCCCCTTTCCACTTCCCTCACGAGAGATTGGTGGATGTGTACAAGGTGAGCAAAGTTTCAATGGTTAACATCCACATGGCTGCCCAGGTCATTTGATCTGATTCAGCCGTCATTTGTTGATTTATTTTACCTTTTACAAACAAATAAGTATTTGGTTACATTGTAATGTTACACATTAGTATAATATTTGCTATTTGTACTATAATCTGCTTGGATGTATTAGCTTGAAAAAACTAAATCCAATGCAGTTCACGTAGGCAGGGGTCCAATACAATCACTTTATTTGGGCTTCTCGGGAACATTTATTGGACGACTGCCATTAAATGCCAAAGCTTTGTGGTATGATTATGCAATTTAACCTTGATATACTTGGATAGTTCAGTTAGAAAACCTGATTCAGCGAACAGAGAAATGACACTGTGTACAATTGATTGATTTCTTTCCAAATTCTGAAATATGCACGTACATGTTAGTGAATCCTGAGCTTTACGATCAGTATTTAGTATTTGTGTGGGTTTGTTTGCGACCAGGGCCAGCTAAGAGAAGCCATTCGAGACATGGTCCTGCGATGCCCACAGACTCTCTTTATCTTTGATGAGGCAGAAAAGCTTCATCCAGGACTCATCGACGCCATAAAGCCCTATATGGACCACTATGATAATGTGGATGGGGTCAGCTATAGGAAAGCCATATTTCTGTTCTTAAGGTTGGTATGTTCTTAACAGATGGCTTCATACAGCCATAAGTTGTCAAGTGAACCCATTTGTGTTGGAGTTCTTAAGCAATGTTTTCCTCTAAACACACTGTAGGTTTACTTACAGAATGCATGCAGAATCTGAAAATGATCCAATTAAACAACTAAAAATGAATTGCTGTTTCCATAATGTCATGCTTTAGCAATATCGGTGGTGGTGCCATCAATGAGGTGGCACTGGATTTCTGGCACTCAGGACAGAATAGGGAAGATATCGGCATGGAAGACTTGGAACATCTTCTGCGTGCTGAAGCCATGGAGGCAGAAGGTACCAGCACACAGTCAACCATATCATAACATTCTTTTAAATCTAATTGCTAAATGTTTGACAAATGTCTCAGAGATGTTGCATATTTAAATTCATACATACATGCACCTATATGTCTTTAGTCTGTGGTTTTCACTATAAATGTTATCATTCGTGTTCTCAATTTACTTTTTACCTTTGCAGGAGGTTTTGCTCAGAGTGAGCTCATGTCAGGACATCTGATTGACTTCTTTGTACCATTCTTGCCGCTGGAGTACCGGCATGTGAAACTGTGCGCACGTGATGCATACGCAGCTCGTGGCCTTCAGCCGGATGAGGGGACGCTGGATGAAGTGGCTAAAGCCATGCTGTACGTTCCTAAAGAGGAGAAACTCTTCTCTGCACAGGGCTGCAAATCCATTCCTCAAAGGATCAATTTCTTTCTACCATAACGGAGCATAACATAAGATCAGTGACATTAAAGAAACACAGAGTATACTTGAATGAAGCAGAAATGACTGCTGATATCTGAAATGCAAATGCAAACAATGCAGAAAAAACTTCATATATAGAGTTGCAACTCTATATCTTACACTCTGAGAGTCAGGACAGGGAGAGAGGGGTTTGCTTGTGACAAACCCTACTGAAATTATATTTTTAAGAACTTTTTATTTACATCTATCTTATCTGCTTCTCCCAAGCAATGTTACAGTTTAAAAAAAACTGCATTTACAGTAATGCACTTACAATGGAAGCCTCTTAATCAAGCAAGCAAAACCACAGTGTTTAAGTTTAAAAAAAAAAAAAATGTACAGTTAAAAGGGAGTTGCTGTTCACAACCTTTTTTTACTTTCATAATATGTATTTCTGAGCAAAGCAGGATATTCAATAGAAAAATGAATTGATTGGATCTGCTAGGCTTTCCTTGTAAGTATATCGTTGTCAATTGAGTTTTAGTTTTCACAAACTAAAAGGCCATTTTAAATGATTTTCGACCATATGCCACTAAGCAGATCCATTTTTCTTTAACCTCGGATATATCTATTAGTTGCCGTTTAAGAACTTTGCATATTTTTGGCATTTCAATCATTGTCTGCATTGAAGATCATATTTCAAAACTTATGTAACAATTTAAAAAAATCTTGTATTTAATATATTTATTGTATACTTTATTGTGTCATGTATATTTAAAGGTTACAATCTCTTTAAATGTTACAAAACTAGTTAGATGTTGTATGTGGTTTTTGTTTATTGATATTTCAGTTGTGAACACATTCTGATATAAAAATGTGAAAATGATTCATTGTTGGGAAAGAAGTAAAGATGTGCTATTGAAATGGTAGATTATGAAGATAGAAAAAAAGCTAGTGTTAGGCTTGACAAACATGATATTGAAGGAATCATTGCATTACAATTGAGACTTGATGTAATGCACTTTTTTCACATAGGCCAGTATGCATTTTTCTGTAGTTTGCCAATTTATCAGATCTGATTTTATTCACTGTATTCAGTTGTCAGCTAGTGACGTGCATCTTTGACAAATTCCTTGCTAATAGTAGCATAAGCTTTTTGATTTTTGCTTGTCAGCTCTGATAATGTTTACTGAAAACTAACTTGAAGTTGTGCTTGAACATCACTAAAGGTTTGATGGATGAACCATTTTATGCCACCAGCTAAAATTCTAAACTTTTGTAAGGGCTTTGTCTACAAATAAAAATCAGCCAAGTGATGCCAAATGCTGGGATTTTTTTGTTAACAGCATTTTTAAAATGAAATGACTAAACATTCAGTTTTCTTCTTAGGGTTTGGCTTAGTGCTGTTTGTTATTATTAGTTGAGCAAGCTTAAATTCTGCATTTCCATTTCCCATTGATATCACAGACACCAGTGGGAAATGGCATTGTTACTGATATTTATCTAATGTAAGAGAAAGAGAAATCAAATATGTTGTGCCAAGCTCTCAAACTCTTAACTTGATATCTCAATCTAGATTTTGCAAACCACTAAACCACTTGCTTGGTTTAATAAATTGCAGTGAAAATAAAAATCCATTACATTAACATGTAATCTTATTCTTGAACAATTTCACACCTAAACTATCAGTGAAACAGCTTTAGATCCCTACTCTTCTTGAGCGAATATTATTTCGAATCTGGTCGGATCTTTTTAATTGAACGGGCTGAACCTGCTTCACAAGCCGATCTGAATTATTCACGAATAGAACTGAACAATTCGTTCGCGAATCGAGCGGAAGCAGTTTTCGAGACACAATTCACTAATCGAACCAAACACCATCTCTTTAATAACCAAATATCAGAAATATTACATTCACAACTTTATTGTAAGACCGCTTAATTAACATATATGACACAGATTTGGTTGTATAGCATTTTATTAAAACGTGCAAAAAGCCAGTAACGCCGTAATTAATAAAACTTAATAAAAAACCGGTTTAACCGGTTTTATAATCTGAAAAAGAGTAATATGTATATACATATGGCTTTAATGAAAGATTTTAGATCATGTAATTAATATACCACTGACTGCCTGATGTCAGGGACCACGTAAGAACGTATTAGAACCACTGAATCAGTTTTTCGAACCGGTTAATTGAACCGATTCGCGGAAATTAGTCTTCTCATCACTAGTGTCTGCCAAACGCGTGGTCAGCTGGCATTGGCCAGAAAGGACGTTCCCATGGCATTCCGCAAATGATCTGATTGGCTGATCGGTGTGACGCTATCGTCTCCAGCTACCGTCCAATCAGAGCCAGCCATCTGTTCCCAGTCTAGACGCGAGACTGTGCGAAAGATAACAGCGCACAGTGATTTCTGCAGGCATGTGAAGAGCCAAACAGAGCTCATTATATACATATTCAAGTCTCATATTTCTTATTAAATCAATTTCTTTATATTTTAATATTCTATCTCCCTTAAAAGGGTATATATTTTACTGCAAAGATGACAGCGTTATCTCTACTCTTTATGGCCGTGTTCATCGCTTTAATAACTGCAGAATCATCTGTTTATTTCCGAGAGCAATTTGAAGACGGTGGTAAGTTTAAAGCATTTGTGTTTTTATGCTTTTTGAATGCAATTTATGCTTTCTGTGGCTTTCGAGCATGTGATGGAGTCACCATAGACTTGATTTTATATGTGATGGATTCACTATATACATTTTTAATGGCTTCGCAGCAATGGTGTGTTGCATTCATTAAGTAATAATAATAATAATAATTTAAAAATCTTAGTCGGTTTAGATAGTGGTTATCTTATAACAAATAGTCAAGGCAGCATGGATGAATGATATGGTCAAAGTAGCAAACGTCCTTGATTTAATCTGATATTACTCATAATTATAAATATATACATGCTAATGATAATGCTTTTAATTTCATATTTATGTCACACATGCACATTTCAGACACCTGGAGGAGCCGATGGGTGGAATCCCAGCATAAATCAGACTACGGCAAGTTTGTGCTCTCTGCAGGCAAATTTTATGGTGATGCTGAGAAAGATAAGGGTGAGTGTTGCTTTATATATGTCATGCTCCAGATAACTGACACCGGTTTGTTTGAATTTGGGGTTTCCTCAGTTTTGCATTATTTTATGCACTGAATAATATGCCAGGGGAGGGCTACTGTCTGTGACATCATTCCCTCTGCTCTTCTGAGCTGCAGGCATGTAATAACACCATCTGATATTTACTATGTTTCAAAACATTACAAAACCACGTGTACTCTAGGGCCCAGTAACCCTGGCACAGACTAAATTTAGTCCCATTTTTGTCTAACTTTGTGCTTTGCTGAGGTTGAGGAATATAGTATGCCTTAAAGACAGTGTGAAATGAAAAATATAAATGTATATAATTAAAATATATATTTGAGGCCATATGTATCTAATTTACTTTAAGCAGATTTGTTTTTATTTCACATTCAAAATTAGCAGTCTTTCAAAAAAAAAAAGGACCAAAAATATTGATGATTTGATTTTTCTCTAATATTTCTTGTTGTAGAATTTTAAACTTGTACCTTTTTTATGAAAGCGGTAGCATTAAAGTGGCTATTATAACGGAGTAAATATGTAAAATGTTTTGATGATTGAATGTGTGTTCCTCCTACTTTGTCTCTTTTAACATTTATATTTGTTTTCATTGCCTTCAAATTACACATTGTTTGAAGGACAAAGTTGGATAGAATGTGAAAACAATTCTGTAAATAATGGATTAAAAATTGTATTTTTAATTAAAATTATTCTATTTTTAATAATGATTTTTAAAAAATTATTATATCTGATTAATCAAAGAAAGAAACCAATTAATCGATTTTTGGATTTTTCTATCTGATTAATCAAAGAAACAGTTGACAGAATAATTGATTATCAAAATAATCATTAATTGTAGCCTTACTCATCAGATGATTTCTATGGGGATTTTAATAACTGAAAAGTTATTAAAAGTTGCTCAGATATCTTATTGTAAACTTGCAGGTCTTCAGACCAGTCAGGATGCTCATTTCTACGCGCTGTCATCCCGCTTCGCTGATTTCAGCAACAAGGATCAGCCCCTCGTGATCCAGTTCACTGTAAAACATGAGCAGAGCATTGACTGTGGTGGAGGCTACATCAAACTTTTCCCATCAGACCTCAAACAGGAAGATATGCATGGAGACTCCACATATAATATCATGTTTGGTGAGCATCTTAATAACCACTTTACTGATGAACATCTTAAATCTGATGTGAAATTGGACATGTATCAAAACATTTTGTGCTTTTGGACACACAGGATGATTTAATTAGTATTTTATCACTTCCAGGTCCTGACATCTGTGGCCCTGGCACTAAGAAAGTACATGTAATCTTCAATTACAAAGGCAAAAATCATTTGATCAACAAAGACATTAGATGCAAGGTAATCCTATTGTTAATTTATTGATTGATTTATTTTTTGTCCCATAATGCACCATGGCACCAGTTCTACAAGTTCATATACCATGTATTTTATCATCCAGGATGATGAATACACCCACTTATACACGTTAATTGTCAATCCTGACAACACTTATGAAGTCAAGATTGATAATAAGAAGGCAGAGTCTGGATCTTTGGAAGAAGACTGGGACTTCCTGCCTCCCAAAAAGATCAAAGATCCCGAAGCGAAAAAACCTGAGGACTGGGACGAGAGGGAGAAGATCGACGACCCTGATGACAAGAAACCAGAGGTAAGGCCTTGTTGTTCGTCCAGAAACCAAAGAGATTCTTTCTCTTGTTTGTCGCAAAACAGATTAACTTTATAAACCACTATTTGGGGTAGATATGCAAAGATCACCAAGTAAATTGTTTCATTTGCTGGATTTCCTGTAGCTTAACAGCTGTTCTGATATAAAGTATAAAATTATGTGTCATCTTCATCTCGGCTTGTCTGATATCATCTTTGTCTGTGTGTTTCTGTAGGACTGGGACAAACCCGAGAACATCCCTGATCCTGATGCCAAGAAGCCTGATGACTGGGACGATGAGATGGATGTGGAGTGGGAGCCGCCCATGGTCACCAATCCTGAATACAAGGTACTGACATTTCTTTAACTGTGGTTTCTTTAACGGCCATAGCGACAGATCTTTTCTTTTTTTATGCACTGTGACATACATCAGAGTAAAACCGATTATCGTAAGTAATAAATGTTAGGAAGGGTAGTTCAGTCCATCAGTTGTTGATTGGATGGAGGCAGAGCTGAAAGTAAGCTTGAGGTCGATTGTGAGAAATGGTGGGTTTATGCAGATTGGAGAAGCTTGGCGTACATCACCAGAGAGAAGTCTGTCATTTCACTGGAAGTGACTAATTAAGAGACAAATTACAAAAATGAAACATATAGACTACATGGATGAATTGTTCACAATAAGATCAATAACATGCATTTAGAACATGTATATGGTCAATTTAAATTTCATGCTGGCTTTAATATTGAACAAAGATGCAGATAATACCTAAAAACATTGTTTTGTCACAATGAATACTGGGTCTGTTTGCTGTTTCCCAAATTCAATTTTTAATCTTTTCAAGGGTGAGTGGAAACCCCGCCAGATTGACAATCCTGCTTACAAGGGGAAATGGGTGCACCTTGAGATTGATAACCCGGAGTACATCGCTGACAACGAAATCTATAAATACGATAGCGTCGGAGTGATTGGACTGGACCTGTGGCAGGTAGCAATTTGCTTTGTGTCTCAAGGACAGTTACAGTTTTCAAATATTTAATAACTGTTTATTGACATGTTTTAAACCACCTTTAGGTGAAGTCTGGCACAATTTTTGACAGCTTCCTCATTACCAACGACCCCAAGCTGGCAGAAGAGGTTGGCAATGAGACTTGGGGTGCCACAAAGGTATGCTTCTTCAATTATTATCTCTCTATCCTAAATAATTTTTCACTTAATTGTAATTTTGATAAAATTTCTCATTTTGATGTTTTTGTTCCTCTCAGGATGCTGAGAAGAAGATGAAGGGAAGTCAAGAAGAAGAAGAAAGAAACAAGCATGAGGAAGAGGAAAAGACAAGAAAGGAGGAGGCAAAGGATAAAGAGGAAGATAAAGATAAGGAAGAGGAAGAAGAGGAGGAGGAGGAAGAGGACGAAGAAGAAGAGGAGGAGGAGGAGGAGGAGGAAGAAGAGGAAACCGACTCTAAACTCAAAGACGAGTTGTAGATTTCAACAGGAACTTGTGACTAATGGGATATAATGCAGAGAACTGGACTAATGCTGGACATTCCTTTTTGTTGTGTGTAGGATGATTCCGGCAGGATTTTTTTGTCCCGTTCCACTACTACAAACCTATTTATAGATTAACTTTTTTCATAATTTTCATTTGCATGATGTCAAGCAAAGTCCCAAGCATTTTCATTCAGGCAGGGTTGAAGGGAGCCAACATAGTGTGAGATATGATCCATAAAAATGTAACGCTCATGTTTACAAATGTCAGATATCCTTTTTGCTAAGCAATTCTGTGACATGAAACATAACAGTCATCAACTGGTAGCTACAATACTCAGACACTAGAATAATTACCTCAAAAAAACATTAACTTTATCTAGTTTGTTGATAATGTGGAGCAGTTTTAAGGTACTGTTGCCACCATTTTGTTTCAATTTCACTTCTGTTACAGGATATACCGAGTTGTTTAGATAGATGCCATCTCATCTACAGCATTTTGGCTTGACACAGTTTTGTGTGTGTATGTTGGGTTTGCGAGAGAGTCCTCACTTTATTGCATGTTTCGTCTTAACTCAAACCTCAAATTCATAACCTCTTACTCGCTCTCAATGTCAATCTATCAGTGACCAGGTTAAAATCATGGTTGTGTACTTTCCTAAACAGACTCTGGATCTCACAAGCTGATACAGTTTTGATCTGGCCTTGGTCAGCAAGCAAATTCTGATACACCTGGTTTCCCAAAAATTGAAATGAAGAATTGAAATGAGAAAACTCTTGTGTGTGTTTGCTTTGGTTCTTTTCAGTAACTGAATTACTGATTGATTTAATTTGGCAAATGTGGTAATCAGGCCCTAAATCTGTGGAGTGTGGAAAAATGGAAAGCTTGTGAGATTTCAAGGGTGTTACGAGGAAAGTTCCATAGCTATTCTAGTAACACTTCTGCTCTCCAACAGAGATTTCACAGCCATTGTGAATATTGCACTGCTATACAGCGTCAATCAGATACTTCTCCCAGCAAAATAGATTGTGACCTTTTTTTTAAAGATATATTTTGTACTTTTTGTGTTTGAAGGACATTCCTTGACATATTGAGAAGAAAAGCTCTGGTATCAAAGTTGCGGTCCAATAATAAAACTACAAAAAGAGTAATGTTTTGACTAGTTTTTGAGAGCATTAACTAAATAAATTATTACCAGCACATGTGGCAGTCCTCTATTCCAGGGATTCCTGTTTTTTTTGTTTTGTTTTTTTGTTTTTGTCAGCTGAGTCAATAGCCGGGTTTCCATCCAAAGTTGCAAATTTAACTTATGCACAAAATTTGAATATCGCATTAAACGTGTGAATGATCACCGTTTCCATCCAACGAGTCAAAGAGAACAAAATCGTCACTTCCTGATAAACTGGCATTAAATATCACTAGGAAAAGTAGCATATATATATATATATATATATATTACTTGCGACTCGAGCGAGCAGACGAAACAATAGGTTATTCTCATAACCCCGGTTCTCGGAAACATTGAATGGAGAGATCCACCAATGGGAAGGGCATCCGTACCTGACCTCTGCAGAAGCATCCAATTGCACCAAGTCTGGCTAGACAGATAGAAGCATGCAGCCAATGCCCGGTAAGGCCCCAACCCCATACCTGAGAGCATATAAGGCCTGTATGTGCTGCTGTTCTCCAGTAAGTATATTCACTTCTCATGCAGCAAGCGGGACAAAGCTGGTGGATCTCTCCACTTGATGTTTCAGAGAACCGGGGTTACGACAGTAACCTATTGTTCTCTTTCATCATCTCATGTTCGAGATCCACCTATGAGAGAGACATGGACAGTTCCCCGATTGCCCAATACACTCACAGTGAGGTTCTGTAAGCCAGAGAAAGATGGTCGCCCCAAGGAGGTGGTGCCTGACACATTCCGTAATCACGCACCTGGCAACCCTGACGCGCACATATAACTGCTGTGCACATACAGGACATGAAACATGTATGGGGTACACACATGTAAATAAACCCAACAACACATATATAAACACCCAGGCAAGAATGTACTGTAAATACATGCTTGTTGATATGAATGTGCGTGGCTTGCTGGCCCATTCACCCTATGTTTCTTTATTACAATGTGTAATTGGAAAGGAAAAAGGAAGGTAACAAGGAGGGGCTATGAAGACCCCACCCCTAAAACAGAATATGCTTCCGAGATTTTGGTGACATCCAGTCGATAGTAATGCACAAACGTATAGGGAGAATCTGGGGGCTGCACTCCCTTCGATTCATATGCCAAAGTGCCACTCCAACACCTCCGATGTGAAAGCCGGATTAGGCTTAAAGAAAACCTTATCTCCGCTAAGAGAGAATTTGGTGCACGAGGAATGCACAGAGAGTGCATGTAGCTCATTGACACGTTTAGCTGATGCCAAGGCCAAGAGCAAAGCTGTCTTGAAGGACAGGAGCTTTAGGGAAATACTTCCCAGGGGCTCAAAAGGATACTGAGACGGAATCTCCAGCACGATGGAGAGGTCCCATTCAGGAACAGTTCTCCTGATGACTGGCAAAGAACCAAATATTACAAGTCAAAGAAAACAAAATCATCACTTCCTGATAAAATGGCATCAAATATCACTAAGAAAAGAAGGAGAAGCCACTGAATATAATCATTTTTATATATAATAAATTACTTGCGCCTCTAGTGAGCAGATGAAATAATAGGTTCCTGTCATAACCCCGGTTCTCTGAAATATTGAATGGAGAGATCCTATGGGAAGGGCATCCGTACCTGACCTCTGCAGAAGCATCCCTTGGAGAGGTCCCATTCAGGAACAGTTCTCCTGATGACTGGCAAAGAACGACGGGCACCCTTCATAAATCTGCGGATTAGAGGATGCTGCCCGACTGTTGAGCCATCAAAGCCCACATGACAGGAAGAAATAGCCACCCGGTAGACCATAATTGTGGAAAAGGACCAGCCTTTATCCATAAGGTCTTGTAGGAAACACAAAATATCAGCAGCTGAGCCCCAATACGATGTGAGACCACGCCCGTCACACCACCCTTCAAACACTTGCCACATAAAACCATATAAGGACCGTGTATAAATGGCCATGGCATTCTGTATAGTAGCAACCATACTCGAGGTAAGCCCTAGTGTGATTAAGTTTGTCCTCTCATGGGCCAGGCCCAGAGAGCCACCCTGTCTGGGTGTGGGTGATAAATCTCCCTATGCTTGAGATAGGTCTGTGCGGAGGGGGAGGCGCCACGGCTGGGCAAATAACAGAGGGATTATCTCTGTCCCCCTCTGTAAAAATCACGTTCCAGGCCCCTCTCCCTCATCGGGCCCTTGGAATCATCCTAACATTCTGAAATTGTATTTCCTCAAAATGTTTGTTCAACACTCAGAGGTCCAAAATGGGGCGGAGAGAACCGTCCTTCTTGGGAACCAGGAAATAATGAGAATAAAATCCATGATTTATCAGACTCGGGGGCACCACCTGAATCATTCCCTTTTCTAGGATGGAAGAGATTTCTTCTTTCAGAATGTCAGCGGCGTCCCATTGTAAATGTCCCTTTCCTGGTCGGTGGCGCACTGTGGAGCCAGCTACTCAATGTTGAGGCGAGCGGCAGCTTGTTCACACATGTCCAGGAGGATGGACTGGGGTAAGGTCACAGGGGCATTAGCCTGGGGAACGCCAGAAGAACGCCACAGGAACGCCAGAGGGCGGTATGGCCTCCGCGTCCTCTGTGACCCCGAGAAGACCCGCATCGTCATCATCGCCGGAACTGGCTGGTTTGTCGGCGAATGGGAGGTTGCCCGCAAAGATGTCCTCTTAGGGGAACGCACACTCTCAGAAATAAAGGTACAGCAGCTGTCACTGGGGTGGTACCTTTTCAAAAGGTACTTATTTGTACCTAAAGGTCCATTTTGGTACTTTAAAGGTACATATTGGTACTTAAAGTGTACATATTAGAACCTAATAGTTACAAAAGTGTACCTTTTGAAAAGGTACTGCCCCAGTGACAGCTGTTTATTTGTATTTATTTATTTAGCTGTTTATTTATTACCTTTATTTCAGAGAGTGCAGGATTGGGCTGGTCAGCCCAGTTAAGGGATGATGTGTCCCCCTTCCAAGTCAGAAAGGCCGAGCTTGACGCACTGAGTCGTGGAAACTTTAAGACAGCGTCGCTGGAGAACGCGAGAAGCGAATTTCAATTGGAGAACAGCGGTGCATGCAGGCCTTATATGCTCTCAGGTATGGGGTTGGGGCCTTACATTGGCTGCATGCTTCTGTCTGTCTAGCCAGACTTGGTGCAATTGGATGCTTCTGCAGAGGTCAGGTACGGATGCCCTTCCCATAGGTTGAACACGAGATGATGAAAGAGAACACAATAAATATGGTCATTGGTTTCAGAGGTGGATGCCTGCTGTTTAGGAACACAGTTGCGTAAGACAGTTCTGGGAGGCAATTATACAGAAATACTTTGACGGCAGACTTTGCCTGGGCATTTAAGAATGACCATAACAACATTTCAGATGCTGTGCAACGAGATCAGTCCGCTCCCATTATTCGCATTAGCCCTTTTTCGCACAAGTCAAAAACCACCTCAAGCGAGTGTAAAAAATATTTTTTTTTGCCTGAAATTTGGCATTTACATCACTTGTTTCTGATGCTTCAAAATGTGCATAATTACTTTACTCTTTGAAATATTAATCAATAATCTTATGAATATAATAAACGCATATACTTAATTTCACAGCATATATGTTCACTTGTGCACTTTGTAGAATATTGGTTTTCAGTTATGAGTAAAATAGGGCTGTGGTTAAAATTACATGTTGTGGTGTGGGGTGTGTGTGTGTGTTTTCATGTAAATCTAAGCTGTGTTTTGTCAAGTATAGGGGACTACACTTAAAATGAAGATGAAGACACGAGTTATGAATGTATTAATTCAAACAAAAATGAAAATAAAACCACTTAATGTCAAATAAAATAAAAATGAAAAATAAATGGACAAATTTAAAACTGTTTAATTAATCTTTTAAGATACAGCAGCTTTAGAATTTCAACAAAATGTGAAAATTAACAACAAACCTTTTTTTTTTACACACAAATTGAAAACCTCCATTATAAAATTTCTAATCTAATGGAAAGGAGAAATTCTATTTTTTTCTGGAGTTTAGCACTACAAACTGAACACTTCATTGAGTCCTCATCCACTGATAATTCCCGCTCCAGGTTTTGTTTATCCTTCTGATCCACCGAGAACTCCAGTGTCTAGTTTTGCAGTGACATCGCTTGCTACCCACCGCCTGCAGATCCGTTGAATAATCCATCGCCGGGTTTTATTTAGCATCATTCCACAGAGCAATCCAGTACCAGGTTTTGTAGCATCCCTATATTGTCCATTGCCTATCAACGCAGGATGAACTAGTGGGAACAGAAACACTATGGCTGCCAGTCTCTCCTTGACTCAGGTAACCTCCCTTTTTACACAGATATAACACTCTCCAAACCACTTTCCAGCTCGTTTCATACGTCTGTCAGATCCGTTAAACTTTATTTTTGCGGTTTAGGGTGAAAAATGATCACACCCTGCTGTCTGATCGCAGCTGTTTAAAGTTGTTTTCAGCCATTTGCTTGGGCAGAGAAAAAGTTTCAGTGTGATCTTTTAGGCACTTGCGTAAGGGCGTAGTTTAGTGTGTCAGTGCTGGAGGCTGGATTAAATAAACTAAAGTTTATTTTTCCAGCTTTTGCTTCTGATCCACCGAGAACTCCAGTGTCTAGTTTTGCAGTGACATCGCTTGCTACCCACCGCCTGCAGATCCGTTGAATAATCCATCGCCGGGTTTTATTTAGCATCATTCCACAGAGCAATCCAGTACCAGGTTTTGTAGCATCCCTATATTGTCCATTGCCTATCAACGCAGGATGAACTAGTGGGAACAGAAACACTATGGCTGCCAGTCTCTCCTTGACTCAGGTAACCTCCCTTTTTACACAGATATAACACTCTCCAAACCACTTTCCAGCTCGTTTCATACGTCTGTCAGATCCGTTAAACTTTATTTTTGCGGTTTAGGGTGAAAAATGATCACACCCTGCTGTCTGATCGCAGCTGTTTAAAGTTGTTTTCAGCCATTTGCTTGGGCAGAGAAAAAGTTTCAGTGTGATCTTTTAGGCACTTGCGTAAGGGCGTAGTTTAGTGTGTCAGTGTCCTTGAGGCTGGATTAAATAAACTAAAGTTTATTTTTCCAGCTTTTGCGTGTCATGAGATCATCCAAATTTACTGTACTTTTTTTTAGATCAGCTTGTATTTTTACATGTCTCCGCTATGAACGTGTGAAAGTGCTTGTGAAATCATGTGTCTTTGCCTACATTAAAACTTAACAGAGGAGCAATGACGAATGCTCCTTCAATTTATGTCAAAATAACTCTTAAATTATAATATTAAGAACGTATTTCACTTATATCTGACATTGTTGTTTGGATTACTGGTGTGTTTTAGTGCGTTAAACTATGCTGGGTGTTTCTAGAGGCATTGAAAAAAGCAGCAGGAAGTTTTGCTTCACTGCTAGCTTTGCTTTTTCTCTTTTCATATATTAATAAATAGGAACTAGTCGTTATTGTATGCAAATGTGGCATGTACTATACTATTGCAGTCATATTTGTGTATTTTTCACTTTTGTGGACTTCATTATTCTACCCATAACAACTTTTTGCTTCTTATCTACAGTCTGTAAACTAATTAGCCAGCTAGCTAAAGCATTTGACACTCGCTAACTGGCTAAACAGATCATTAACCTTCAAAAAAGGTTATATGCGAGTAAAATCTGTCTTAATAATATCTTAATGAGTCAGAAATCTCAAACCAGATAAATATGAACTTATTTCCGATGTGTTCTTTGTGTATAGTGCAATATTAATGAAATAGCTTCAGTGACACTCGTACAGCTGTTCTTCTGTAAGAAAGGGCTTTGACAGCATATTCATTACATGCATAGTCACTTATAGCTGTTTTAATAGTCCAGAGGGATTCGTGCATTGATTAGGTTGATGGTCTAAAATGTTCCTCACTTTAGTTTCCGTGTTGTCTACTTTTGTTGCTTTAAGAATAACACTGTTCTCTAATGGCAGTGGTGGTTGTAGTGTTGACCACATGCAGCTGATGGTGTGCTCAGTTTTAGAAGCAAGGCGCACATGCATGAAATATGCATTGCAGCATTACCTCATCAAGAAGACTTTAGACGGAAGAAAGACATGTCTGATATGTCTTCGGTGTGTCTGGCTTTCTATGATTCCAGAAGGATAGGTTATGATTTGAGACATTGCAAGGAGGCATAGAACAACCATGAATCGATCCAGTGGGTCACCATGATCATATTCAAAATGTTGGTTTTTAGAATTTTTTTTTTTTTTCATTTAATATTTAATATTTTATGTGTTTGTTTTTACATTTTATTGAAAAAGTATAATTTCTATGAATCATTTAATGTTTCATAATATCATATTTGTAGCATTACTTTCACCACATTATTTCTGCAATTGTGATTTCTGTTTTTAAGCATTTGTAAATGCATCTTTTTGTAATATTTTTATTTAGCTTCTTTGTTGACTTTGCAGTGTAAAGACAGCATAACAGAAAGACAGATTAGGATGCCAAGATAATTTTGGTGATTTAGTTGATGGTATTTTTTGTTGTATGTTTAATCATGGTTTACTAAGTCTTTGCTTTGTAGGAGTGTGGTCATTTTAAGTAGAACATGCCAGAATAAGTTTCAGGAAATGAGTTGGAATCAGAACAGCCTGAAAGGCCAAAGTGGTTGGTGTTTTTTTTATTTTTTTTATAAAGAAGCACAACAAAAACTCCTACTCCTTTCTCAGCGGGGCAAGGAAATGTTTGGTGGCACTTTGCTGAATATTGTGTGCCAACATCGCATTAGCATGCACCAGTAACCACTTGATGGGAGACAGACAGAGCTGTTGAACTACAATTTAAAAAACAGTTGGGTTAGAACTTAGTCTAACATGGCCAGAAAAGCAATTTGATGCATCATGGTGATGCAGATGTCTGATGTGAAAGATCCTATGAGCTCCTAATAGCTTTTGATTGGCAGAGGGGTTGGTGTTTACTACAAAAAACATTTAACAATCATGATTTGGTCTCCGTAATGCATTTGAATTCACTTGATCCGTCCATATGTTATAAATTAGCCTTTTGGCCATGACTAAACCCGATGTCGATGGTTTGGCTTGAGGTCAGCTGCGCAAATGTGCGTTACTCTGCCCGACTTTTGTGAATCACAACTCAACAAAAGCTCAGTGTTTGTGTTGTGCACAGCAGAGAATGGCAGAAGACTTTAGATAGCCTCCGTTTATGTGTGAATGGGTGTATAATCAACATCTTTAAATACGACAAAGGTGTGTAAGTACTTGAAATGTTTTCACAATGCCATTTTATAAATGTTCACCTGGTTGCCAGATGGCTGTAACATTTCCTTCTCAGAGGCCGGAATGCATCAATGCTGCCAAGAAAGTCAACAGTTTAGAAGAAAATGCTGTTTAATTGGCTTATTTATGTCTTGATTAAAAGTTTCATCCGTATGACCTGTTTTAGAGAGAATAAACAATGTCTTCAGCTTGATTTTAACCAAGTTTTGTGTTATTTGGTTGCAGCTTTCAAGTGGGAATCCTGTCTATGAGAAATACTATCGACAGGTAAGCATTTAATCAGCTTTTTCTGTGTCATGTTTCGCTTTGGCATTATAGAGCACGTAGCGGAAGAAGAGAAATATAAACCTCACCGCACTGTCTGTTTGAGCTAAAAGCACTCTGAGGCTTCTGTCCCCCGTAAGTGTCTTTCTCTCAGTAAGAGGATGCCGCTATGAATTATTGATGACTTTTGCAAACCAAACAGGACATGGTGAGTGAAGCAGCTTGTTTGAACTAGCATTTGGTTTAAACATCTTACTACTGATTTCTCATTCGACTGAATCTCTCCAGCTAAGCAGCTGTGCATTGCATTGGTCCTGATTCATTTTTCAGATTGTGTTTGATTGTTAATTTCTTTTATATACAGTGTAATACACCTTAAAGGGTTAGTTCACCCAAAAATGAAAATTAGCCCACAAATTACTTACCCTCAAGCCATCCCAGGTGTATATGACTTTTTTCTTTCAGACGAATCCAGTCGGAGTTATATTAAAAATTGTCTTTGATCTTTCAAGCTGTTTAATGCCACTCAGCGGGTGTTGCATGCATCAGTCCAAAAGAAGTGAAATAAAAAGCGCCCATCCTTAAAAAAAGTGTCTCACACGGCTCCGGGGGGTGAACAAAGGCCTCCTGTAGCGAATCAATGCGTTTTTGTAAGAAAAATATCCATATTCAAAACGTAATAATCACTTTAATGTAGCTTGCGCCAACAGTTGTACACGGAAGCAGTTCCGGGCGGATGACCTCTGAGGTCAGCGCTGCACTCCTGTTAACAAACCAACGTTTGTTAACAGGAGCAAAGGAAGCAAAGTTTCCTTACTTTAGCAAAGGAAAACCAGTCTCCTCTTGGCTTATATCGAAATCCTCCGACATTCTTCTTTACATATCCTCATTTTGTACTTCTAATAAGTGACCGGTGTTTTGTTTTGACCTCTCCCCTGCGCTTCCGCGTGCGTCACTTCTGAGCGGCGCATGCGCAAAGCCGACCTCCATACGTCATCCGCCCGGAGCTGCTTCTGCTTAGAAACACTAATTCTTCCTGTAAAATGTGATTTGCATACTTGGTATTTACATAAAAAGTGGTACATGATATGAATGTGAATTATGAATTTATTTGGCACACACCCTTTTACTAAAAACACCATTGTGTGTCATCCTATAGTTATGAAGCAACAGTTTTTCATTTGACAGTCAGTAGTAGTATTTGTTTATAAACCATCAGTTCTAGAATATTTACTGAGAAATGCACAACCATTCAAAAGTTTTGGGTCCGTAAGATTTTTTTGTTTGTTTATTTAAAGAAATTAATATTTTTATTAAAGCCATATATAATGTTCCATAAGATTTCTGTTTCAAATAAATTCATTTGAACTTTCTAGTCATCAAAGAATTCTGAAAAATCATGAATTCCACAAAAATATTAGCAGCACAACTGTTTTCAACATTGATAATGATAAGGAATGTTTCTTGAGCACCAAATCAACGTATGTGACCCTGGACCACAAAACCAGTCTTAAGTCGCTGGGGTATATTTGTAGCAATAGCCAAAATTGTTACAAAATGATTGATTTTTCTTTTATGCCAAAAATCATTAGGACATTAAGTAAAGATGATGTTCCATGAAGATATTTTGTAAATTTCCTACTGTAAATATATCAAAACTTAATTTTTGATTAGTAATATGAATTGCTAAGAACTTAATTTGGACAAATTTAAAGGCGATTTTCTCAGTATTTTGATTTTTTTGCACCCTCAGATTCCAAATTTTCAAATAGTTGTATCTTGGCCAAATATCGTCCTATCCTAACAAACCATACATCAATGGAGAGTTTATTTATTCAGCTTTCAGAAGATGTATAAATCTCAGTTTCGAAAAATTTACCCTTATGACTGGTTTTGTGGTCCTGGGTCACATCTTAGAATTATATCTAAAGGGTCATGTGACACTGAAGACTGGAGTAATGGCTGCTGAAAATTCAGTTTGCGTCATAGGAATAAATTACACTTTAAAACAGAGTTTAGCTCCAACCCCAATTAGACACACCTGAACCAGCTAATCAAGCTCTTACTAGGCATGCTAAAAACTTCCCACCAGGTGTGTTGAGGCAAGTTGGAGCTAAACTCTGCAGGGCACCGGCCCTCCAGGACCGAGTTTGGGCACCCCTGCTTTAGCCAGTGTCCTGCAGAGTTTAGCTCCAACCCTAATCAAACACACCTGAACTAGCTAATCAAGGTCTTGCTAGGTATACTTGAATCTTCCAGGCAGGTGTGTTGAGGCAAGTTGGAGCTAAACTCTGCAGGGAACCGGCCCTCCAGGACCGAGTTTGGGCACCCCTGCTTTAAAATATATTCAGAAAGAAAATGGTTATTTTAAATTGTAATAATATTTCATAAAATTACAGTTTTTGCTGGCTTTTTGATCAAATAAATGCAGCCTTGTTGAGCATAAGAGACATTCAAAAACCTTACAGACCCCAAACTTTAAATAATTTTGTATGCTTTATTCCACTACAGGTAGATCCGTCCAGCAGTGGGCGTGTAGGAGCTGCTGATGCAGCCTTATTTTTAAAGAGATCTGGCCTTACAGACCTGGTCCTTGGCAAGGTAACATCAGTTAGCATGCCTCCAATATAGCAGTGTGGGAAATGCAAAGCAGTCAATTGATTGACGAGTGCTGGAAACATCAAGATGACTTAAATAGAAAACGATAGATGGTGTAATTTAATTACCTTCTTTATATTGCTGTATTGATTTTATGCAGTCTGTTGTGTTAGTTTTGTGTTACATTACACATTCTTTTTTAAAACATTTTTATGCTTATGTCTAATTTTCTTCTTTGTTCCACAGATATGGGACTTAGCAGATTCAGATTGCAAAGGCTCGCTAAACAAGCAGGTATTTTAAAAAGCATTAATATCAAGGTACAAAGAAAAAGTTGAGAGAAAAGTTGTTTGAGCAATACATTCTCAACTATATTTGTCTGTTTGTCGCTTCTCAGCAATTTTTTGTCGCCCTCCGTTTGGTGGCATGTGCTCAGAATGGATTTGAAGTGTCTCTTAAGAGCTTAAATGCTGCTGTCCCTCCCCCAAAGTTTGTAAGTCAGACCTTAACTTCCTCTTCCTCTTCACCAGATCAGGAAAATGACATCACGTTTCACCTCACAGTATAATTACCAGTGACTTAAAAGCTGCTGAGTTGGTGATTTTATTTGCTTATGTGGTGGAAACCGCTTTGTCTCTTGTGAATTAATGACTGTTCTTCTGCTTCCTGTCTAGCATGACACTAGCAGTCCTCTTCAGTTTGGCCCCGTGCCCACGGACTGCCCATGGGTTGTCAAGGTCAGATATCATCAATAGATTTTTGGTTATTTAGAATAGAGTTGCTAAATAAATGCTGTGATTAGAATTTGTCATAAATTAGATTGCACTTTCAGTTCAATGCACCAGTTACTTAATTGCTCATTTTTGAATGTTTGTGTGTTGCGTGTCATATAGGCAGAGGAGCATCTGAAATTCGATGCCATCTTCGACAGCCTCTCTCCAGTGGGTGGCATGCTCACGGGCGATAAGGTCAAACCAGTGCTCCTCAATTCTAAACTCCCTGTGGACGTTCTTGGCAGGGTAAGATGAGTGCGGTGACAGGCAGGTTTATAATGATGCAATGCAGGGTTTGAAGATACAACTTTTACCTCGTCTTTTATATAAAGGTGCATTTGTAGGCCTAACCACCAGGGTGCGTTCTTGAGCTGTAGCTTAAAAGTACTGTACTCGGGTCTTTTAAAAGGCGAAAACAAACAAAAACCTAAAGTTTAACTAAATTGATTTGAACTAAAATCCCACTTGAAAATGTATTAAAATCAAACTATGAGTAATTAATTCTGTAAATCAGTAATAGTGATTTAATTGACAGAATTGATCTGACATCTCATTGGAATGAATGTTATAGGTTTGGGAGCTCAGTGACATTGACAGAGATGGCATGCTGGACAAAGATGAGTTTGCTGTGGTGAGTTTTGTGACGTCAAACATAATAATTACTGTATTATTTGAGTATTATTTCTATACTATTATAATATTATTAATATTTTAAATTAGTTTTTTTTTTTTCATATTGTTAGTTTTAATTTTAATTTAATTTTAGGTTTTGGTAATTTTGTTATGTGCTTTTTCCGTTTTTATAATTTTTTTAAAATTTATATTTGGCCTTAAATTGTTTTTATTTCAGTTTCATTGTAGTAATTTTAGTACTTTAACTGAGGCATTTTATAGATAAGTTAGCTGCCACAACACTTTTAATTTTTCTTTAAGTTTTTGTCAGTTATAATATTTATATTTATATACACTACCGGTCAAAAGTTTGGGATCAGTCAGACTTGTAATGTTTTTTTAAAGAAGTCTCTTACGCTCATCAATGCTGAATTTATTTGATCAAACTGGTCTAAAGCCAATCTAAACAAGTCTAAACTGCAGCTAACCCCGTTTTGGCTGTTCCCATGTTTCTGTTTGGTTTTGCCATCATTAAGGAAAACATGACTCTGTTCTATCAGTTATGTCTATCACAAACTTGAGTCATAGTGTTTTTTTGTTTTTTTACCCATAAATGGTTTATTTGTATTCGTATATTTATATTTCAGCTTGCCTTCACCCTGTTTTTTACTTAGTTCAGGCTTTCATGAAAATGCTATGAGTTCAGATATTCGATGCAATAAATCTTGTTTCTTGTTTGTGAAAAACTGCCTTTTACACTACACCAGGGCTGTCCAAACTCGGTCCTGGAGGGCCGGTGTCCTGCAGATTTTAGCTCCAACTTGCCTCAACACACCTGACTGGAAGTTTCTATGCCTAGTAAGAGCTTGATTAGCTGGTTCAGGTGTGTTTAATTAGGGTTGGAGCTAAACTCTGCAGGACACCGG